CTTTAGCGGTGTGGTCCGGCTTGTAAGGTCGGGGAAAAACCGTTCTGAGTATACTTCCACCCAGTAGGGAAACTGCATCCTTTTACCCTTTCCCACCAGCATGATGTGGCGATTGCAAGTACGTCCGAAAAGTGCATTGTTGTTCACTTCATTGTTAAAGCTGCTGCCACTAGTCGTTTGTTTGGTTCAGTTTCGGCCTGTTTTTTTTCTCCGTTCGGGGTGTTTGTTGCGCCATCCATGGTCGCCATAAGCTTTACAATTCTGTTGTTTGATTAGTTTGTTGAGGTTTGCTGCCCAACATTAGCTCGACGGGTTAGGGTTTACTTGTTCCAGACGCGTTTCTGTTGAGCACATGGTCTGCAAGGCATGCTGATGGAACTACGTTTCGCAATGGGAGCTTCGTGGTGTGCAGCATTCACCAAGCTCTTTTGGGCTTGCTTCTAACCAATCGCCGTAAAGTTCCAATAAATACTAGCTGGCGCCTGGCTGGGTAGGACTTTAGATTTGTCGCGAGCATACAAGCAGCGGCCAGCAGGCGAGTGTGTGTGCTGGGATTCAAGCAGGGGCCCGGCTGGTCTTGCCGGTCGGTGCCAGTCTTTTTTGATGACTGCCACTACCCAATGCTGTTCACGGGCCATGGCTCCCAAATTCTGCTCATGTCGACTCCCAAATTCTGCTCATGTCGACTTCGTCTGTGCCCAATCTTTTGGGCTGGGCGCATGCGCAGGAAGGTGAGAAAGCCCCCGGCTATCAGCAGGAGTTCATGGCCCTGGGAGTTCAAGTATCCTTTCCTCGTTCTGGACAGGAAACGTTCACCTTTGGAAACAAACCGGGCAGGGTTGAGGCACTCGCGGCCATGATGCAAGAAGCGACTCGCAAAGCTGACGTCGCAAACGTTCTGCTTGAGCTGCAGGGTCATTTTTAATTGGCATCTGGCTTCTTCTACAACAAGGGCCTTAAGTTCATTGCGAAGGCGCTCAGCAACGCTTCCATCGATCCCACTTCTGAGGTGTGTTTCAAGGGCTTTGTAGAGTAGCGATCTCGCCGCCCCACTCCTTGTATTCACGGACACTGCGTGGGAATCTGGAAGGGCCGGTGCGGGGGCGGTCGTGCAGTGTTGTGCTACGGGAGTCACACTTGCATGCGAGATTTTTGTTTGTAGGAGCTGATTCAGATGTGGCGCGAGCGAAGCTGGCGAACAGATAACTTGCCAGATGGCGATGTGGGCATTTCTAACTTTGAGTGTGACAGTGAGTGAGAGCTTTCAATCCGTTCCTGTCATCGCATGGATTGACAACGAAGCTGCGCGTTTCGATCTCCCGAAAGGAACAGAAGACTCAGCTACGCTCAGGAGCATGTCTCGATTGTGCCAGCATGCTGATCGTGTCTGCCCGTCCCTGATCTGGTGTGAGTGAGAGGGTAGCTTCCTTTTCGAATCCCGGTGACTTGCCGTCCAGAACTAGCCTTGCACAAGCGTGCATTGATTGCAGTGCCGAGCCTTTTCAGTTGCCCGACGTGTCCACTCTCGCAAAGAAGATGCAAAAGTTGCTCAGGCTTTCTTCTCAACCTTGATCTAAGCTTTTGATCGCGATACCAAACCGGGGCAGCCCAAAGCGCGATGCCAACCATTCGAATCAACACATGGGTGTGTCTCGTCCCGGTGATATACTGCGCCTGGATTGGAGTCTTTGCGATACTTTATCTCGAAGAAAGATATCACTTCCCACAGAAGAACACATAATTCGAGAGCTTCATTCATATTGATCTCCCGCACTATTCTACAGAGCGAGATGCCCCTAGAAAAAGACACTTACTTACCTGCACCTCACATACATATGTGCATACATACATACATACGTAAAAACATGCATACATGCATACATACATACATATACGTACCTATACATTCTTAACTATGTATACAGAAGAGGAGTGTGAGGCCTGCGTTTTTGCAACTTTGTATGTTTCGAGCGGTTGTGTGTGTGCGCGTTTCCGCGTCAGTTGATCGTTCGTTTGGTGCACCTGCGTGCATGTTTTTGTTTGCACACATACATATCGTATCTTCATTCATGCATGAATACGTACATACGTACATGGGTATTTGTCTAAATTATCGTCCCTTTCAGGGTCCTTTTTATAAAGTCCGGTACGCCTGCGCGTGTGCTTTGGAGTAGGAGTTTGGCTTTAGGTGTTTCATGCTCACAGACTACGGAGTCCCACTGACTGAGCCTAGTCCATTCCTATCTAGAATACACACTAGCAGCAGATGGCTAGAGCAGAGTACGCGGGACTGTTCCAAACCAAGAACGTCAAGTAAACTGACGACAGGAATCCTCAATGACAAAATCCATGCAAAACGTGATTATCGCAAATGCACACCGCCCTGGTGTACTATTCTGTTTTTATAAAGGTGCCGTACTATATCGGGGACCCAAAAAAGGACCCTAGTCTAGAAAACTACACACATACATACATAAATACATACATACTCAGCTACCTGCATCTGTGCACACATATTTATGTACCTTCATTCATGCATGGCATACATACGTGCTTAGATACATACATACCTTCGTACATACATACGTACTGCCGCCCCCTACCGTACGTACATATGTAATAAACGGGTAATTAACAAAACACCATGGCCGGCATACTTTGCATACGTACATGCTTATTTACTTGCACCCGGACCTTCCGACGTGCCTGCATACAAACATACATGCATACGTGCATACATACAGACTCAGTTGCCTCATCCTCACATACATACCTACTTTCATTCATGCGTACATGCGTACTTACATGCATACATACCTACAAAACGCCCTGCATGTGCATGCGCTGACGTACGTACCTGCACATGTAGTACATGTCAAAAGCTCAATGGGCATTTGTAGATACTTACTTTCCTTACCTGCACCCGACATGCATATGCATACAAACAGGCGTAAAGACATGCATACATACATACATACATACATACATACAGAAATACACACACATACATACATACATATACAAACCTAGACATACGCATACATACATACATACATACATACATACATGTAAAGTTCAGAGATTAACATGTGTCATGTCGTTTTAGGGTTTTCGGTAAATTTACAAAAGGTCGCTGTTGGACTTGGATTTTCAAGGCTTCATCCCCTTCGGGCTGTGGCTTGATATCCGTTGTTGCTCTTACGGCTCAACGTGCGCAAGCCACTTTAGGGTTCAGGGTTTGCTGTCCATCGTCTGTTTCAGGGTTGCAGGCTTTACCGGTTGTAGGTGCCGGGAGTCGAATTGCTGTCATGGTTCGCAAAAGCATCAATAATTTCTGCTTGCCTCTCCGTTGATGTGTTTGTGTTTAAATGTGTTGCAGCCCCTGTAGCTGCCAATCGTTCATTTCAGGGTTTATGGTTTGCTGGTGCCTTGAAAAAAAAGGGTTCATTGACAGTCAATCTTTTTGGATCCTTGGTGTTAGCCAATGCCATGCGGATGTTCTCGGTCTAAGGATTAGCACAGCAATGTCCTGTTTTTGTTTTTCATGGTTCGCTCTTCGTTGCTGCGTTTGAGGTTTAGGGTTCGCCAGCGCTTTAGTCGTGTGTTATCGTCGCTCTGAACTTGGGCCTACAGGGTTTTGAGGTTCGAAGTTCACTAGCCGCTTGAAAGTTCAAGGTTTGCTGAGATGAGTTCTTTTAGGAAGTTTGCTGTTGCCGTCAACCTGCTTTGTCTCGGCATATGCAGGGTTTGCCAATCACTTTGCTGTCCAATCTGGCTTTAGGCTTGAAGCTGGTTGGTGAAAGCCATAATTGTTTGGTCAGGGCATTCCAAGTATGCTTTCTTTCTGAAGTTTATATTGCTATCCGAGTTTCAGTACTGCTCGTTTTTGGGTGCAGGGTTTGTCAAAGCCTTCCTATTTAATGTACGAGACTGCAGCTCGCTTTCCACGGTTCCAGATCCACCTACGGTTTCGGGCTTACCGCCCGCATGATTCTCTTGCCCAACATGCGTCTGGAGCCGTCAGTCGGTTGAGGGTTTATGTAGGGCTGGCTTTGTTCTCTGTATCGCACTGTGTTTCCCGCCCGTCATTAGGTTTTGGTTAGCCGTTAGCCGCAGTTCTTATCACGATTTGAAGACGGCTTTCCGGCCACCATCGTGGCCTAAAGCTTCAGGCATGCTTGCCTTGCTTCCGTTGAGGAGCTTCACTTTATTGTGTGTGATTCCTTTATGCAGCTGTTAGGATGTGCATGCGTTCGCTATCTGGTCTTCTGTTGATGTTTCGTTCGGTGCTTGGGCTCCTGCCTGGGTGAGGCATCGCTTCCCAAGATCTGTGGCGTCGACTCTACAGTCTGCTTGCCGGTTGCTTTGGGATGTCTTGGATTCGCCTGTTGACTATACTGAATACTGACTATACTGTATACTCATTTTCATGGTTTGTTGTCTTCTTCACTCATTTTAGTGAGAGTTAGGTCTCAACTCTCCTCGCCATCATTGCTTAACTGCCTAGGGCCTGCCACTCGCCAGCCACACTTCCTCGAGTCCAGGGTATGACGTTCAGGGCTTCGCCATCAATTTTCAGCAGGCGAGGAGTTTGCGAGGCGGGGATGCGTTGCTTCCGTCCGTAGTAGACTTCAAGTTGGCCTGCTCCAAAGTCTCTCAACTTCGTTTTTTTTTACAGTGATTTCTGAGTCGCAGCCAAACACCGGTGTCTGACAGTGCCGCACCGGTCTGTTGATGCGGCACATGGTGGATTTTCCGTTTCGATGCTTGCAAAACGGGCTTTTCAAGTGCTCAGCGGCCTCGAAGACTGGTATCGATTGCTATCCTATCTCAGAATGAGCTAAGCCAAGCAGTCGTTTCAGTTTTTGCGGTGCTGAAGTCCTTGTCGCCGAAAAGAGTCAGAGTGATCAGGATTCCGGAGGAGCAGATCCTTCGGTGGTTTACTCAGGCCCATGAGACACGAAAGAGTTGTGCAGCAGTTTTGTCTCCTTGGCTGGCAGGCCACGCTTGCCGTAAAGTTCATCCATGACAAGCACATCCTTCACAGGGTGCGCCCGTGGGGAAATCTGCGTTCTTGTGCAGATTGTATACGGCGGCATACTTGAGTGTGCAAGCCCCAGCCGATACCGCAGGATTTAAAGCCTGCCAACTTCTTCCTCACAAAGAACGGGCAAGCACCTTGAGTGACGGACGATTTTGCGCGAGTGGATCTTCAGACAACAGTTGCATGATTTGGAAACGGGTCGACGCATCACGCCTAAGACAATTTCCGTTTTCGTTGGCCATTGAGTATTTCACTCCACCACTCCACGAAGGTCTTTGAAGATGGGAGACTTTGGAATAGCCAAAACGATGGTCGGTGGCTGAGTTCGAACTTTGCCAGAAAGGGTTTCCCCTGTTCAAGTTGCCTCTGGGCAGGCTTGCACTCTGGCATGTGCAAAGACCAGGATTGGCTGGGTGCTCAGCTTTTGGTTTGTCTTTCCATGTGGAGGGTAACGTTGCGTCATTCACACACAGGCACCCCATATTATTTGAGTCCAGAAGTATGCCAGGCACCGTTGCCAAGTTGCATGCGACGGTTTTTGCTTTGCCTGGTATGTTTACCTCTGCAGGAGAAGCCGTACAACTGGTCATCCGACATGTGGTCAATGGGCCAGGAGCCGAGAATGTAACAAAAGCCAGGGCGAAGGTGACCGAGGAAAGTCCAGGAGGATGCACTGTCGCGGCCTTTGGCAGGCTGCATACTGTACGAGATGTGTGCCCTGTCGGGGCCCCATCTGCTCTCGTACTGGTAGCTACTTCTTGTGCAACTTGCACAGATGGCTCTGGGGTTGGTGCGTTACTACCGTATCACCATGAAAGAGTCATGAATCTGAGCCTGAGACCTGTGCCTGCTTAAATGGCTTCATCGAGAGATGTCCATAATATAGACGAATCTGGAGGAACGACATGGGGGGGAGGCATCCGTGAGAGCCTGCCCTGCACCGGAGTAAAATTTAGATCTAGGCTAGTAAAGATGTTGCACTCACCAGCTACGGAGCCTCCTTCTAGATTTCAACCGGGATGAACCAGGTGTGCAGGTCATACCAATTAGCCATGACATGCAGCTTGATTGACCCAGGCAGGTGCCTTTCGACGCCCACAGCCTTTCGGGCCTTGTGCAGAAAATCTGCTACGGCCCGTTGCCCGTGGTCGTGGCCTTGTGTCAAAGTGTCGAGTGCGAAAAGCGACCTTGCAGCTTAGGGTTCTGCGTTCAGGTTCCGGACTGCTACTCTGACTTCCTTCGCCGGCCGACGACTCGTGCCTCAGTCACGACAAAATCCATGTTTCGCCACTTGGAGGCTGTGCAGACAACTTCTGGACCGTGAGCCGAAGAAGAGACCGTCCGCAGACGAGGTGCAGTTCCAATGACCACGGCTTGCCTTATTTTTTTTTGGAGGGTTTTGGGAACTACATGAAAGGATCCAACATCGCCTCAGCCGTTTGCAACACGGACAGGTGGAGTTGGGAAAAACAACAGCGCACTGCAGAACAACACGACCTTCCCTTTGCATCTTTAGTTGTGGAATTGCCAGTCTAGTCTCTAAGCGATTAAGATTATGCCACAGCCCAAAATGCCGCGGTTCGCGCGTCCGTCTGCGGAAGGAGCTCTGTTTTGCATAGCGGCAGCAGTCGGCACTTCATGGACACAGTGATGCAACATCGCTTCACTGGCCCAAAGAGCTCTTCAGCAGGAGACGTCCTTGCTGTGTTTCGTCTTGGGGACGGCGCTCGTCCTACAGGGCATGACAGGACCACTGTAGGAAGATGATTTCCCGTGGCACTTTCAAAGAACTTTCGTCGCTGCAGCGGCTTCATTGCTGGCAGGACCAACAGTGCAAAACCCTCGTGCGAATCTGAGAAGAGTCAAGCCGCCACTCACAGCTTTTGTCTCGCTCTCTTTGTCCTTGTTGCCGTCAACTCTCTTGCAAAAGCCACGTGTCCCTCTCCCTGGTGCCGCGAGTCTCAGGAACTTTTTGGGGAAGACAATTCTGGCACAAGATCCTCTTCTTTGTATGCAGAACAATGCACAAGAGCAGCTCACAGTCGAGATGCATGGGAGATCGCGACGATGTCAGGGGTTAGGGGATGTTGATCTTTCCGAAAACCGTGCTCGACGGCGCAAGCACCGCCTCGTCTCTCTTGTCAACGCCAAGTGCTGTGAGAGAGCGCAGTCGCGCAACTAACATCCTACTATGGAGGTCGTTGGAGGCACTCCAGGCAATACCTGAGTAGCCGCTTCCCACGTAAAAAACGAGACGCGGCGCAAACGAGCACCTGTGTTTGGGCGCAAGCAGCGCCAATGGATGGACTCCGGGATCGTAAGTTTTTCCGTGATGTTACTGCGACACGTCTTGCCGCTTTTGTTATGCATTGATGCTTGTATCGCGAGACTGCAGCATGTTCACGAACGAGAAACTGTAGACCAAAGGCTGGACGTTTGTGCAATTGCAGCGGCGCAATGCGGCAGCTGCATTGGTTTCGTGCACGCAGCAAGATAGGTCGATGTCCCGTGACGAACTCTGCCACGAGTGTTCGCTTGCTCTCTGTTTTATCTAAGCTGGCGAGCTTCAGCCTGCCGGGAGCAGCACATGCCGGCTTGCCGCTGGCATCTTTCACTTCTGGCGGCTTTGTGGATTACACGGTCGGAGGTGCTTTTCAGGAGCTCTGGCTGCATTGAGTTTTAGGTCGCTGGAAAGATCTGTTGTAGCTGGTGATATCACCGAGGTGTCCATGCCAGACAATTATAAGGTTGGCAGCTTATCTGACCAGACCTGGCTACCACGAGGGTTGCTCAAGGTGCAAAAAGCGAAAAGGTGAAGCATGGCTCAGGTTATCGAACAAACTTCGACTAAAGTCTCTTGGCAAGGTGATAGGCGGGAAGAGCAATAGTGCAAGTTGAAGTGTTGGTCTGTGTACCACGGTTGTCTAGCTTTCAGATCTAACTCTGTCACCAGGACGGGCCAATACAACACGATGTCTGCAGAAGTGAAGGAGGTCGATAGTGATACCCTTGACAAAGCTCTGGGAATGGGGGGCTTGGACATAAAGGATATTGGCGAAAAGTTGCTTGGTAGATGACAGGCATGTAATTGTGCTGTTCGTGGTCCGAGCCACCATTAGGAATGACGCAACTCTGCTGAGGCTGTCAGACAAACGCCCTCTGGGCGGGGCAGACTTTTATGGCGCATCTCAGTTCAAGCTGAGGGCGTGCGAGTGTGTGGTCTGTTGACGGCTCGCCGTGCAGCAAAGGTGGAAAAACTTGAAGGTGTGGAAGGATATCGGTTTGAATTCGTCGGCGACACCATTCATGAGCACCTTAGCTAGTTCAAGCATGGGACAGTGAGTGCAGTCTGCAGGAAGAGTGAGCGAATGCCAATAAGTGCCATTGCCCTGCTGCAGGTATGTGCTGCATGCGCTGGTGCGGAAGGGCTCGAGCAACTTGCTGTGCACCGTCACCACCCGAGCGGCAGGCACTTGCTAGAACGGCCTTAGATAGCTGTAGTGTCTAGAAGGAACCATGACGGAAGCAGCGAGTTTATGTCGAGGCCTCTTATGGGCCGACAACAATCGCTTCCAGACCTTTGCGAAGATTATGGGGAGCTTCAAACCCCAGGCATCTTATTATTTTCTTAAAGGGTTCTCGCATCATGCTGGCAGCTGTCCCTTACGACTTGTGCGGATATGCAGGTTTGACCTGCTCGTCAAGCTTTCAATGATCTGACGGTGACAGAGTTCTCGATTGGCCGATTGAAAATGCAGCGAAGACTTGACTGCTTCGGAGCCGGGGAATGGCCTTTCTTCGTTCACCTGGCTTGCCCGCAACACTTTTCCGAGCCTTTGTTACTGTCCTGAACTTGCTGATGCAAGTTCTGGCGTGCAGGTCCTACAACTTCCCGAAATTCAGCGGGTCGTGCGACAGATGCTCGAGGAAGCCTTCGCCCCAGTCGTCTGGCGGCATAGTGCAGGGTGGAAGCGAGTCTCCCAGCCAGGTGAGAAGTCTCCAGCGAGAGGTGCTCTGACTCTTGCTTTGGCTAGACTCCTCGACTGCATGACACCACTGCATGCAGGAAAGTGCAGCCAAAGGGACAGCTGCTGGTGTGGCGGGCACCTACAGGTCAGCAGCTAGCACTAGGTCCTGTGAGTTGCAAGACCGTCGACTTTTGCATGGATGTTGCATTGTAGTGTGGCCTGGTTGCAACCAGGAAAGATGACCTCGCGGAGTACTACTCGGTCACTCATGGGGTCTGCGGCTTGGCACTGGGGCCTCAAGTCCGGCATGTCATCACTGCCGCTCCTAGCTGGGAGACTTGTAGCCGAAGGAGTGGCTCCCTTGCGTCGTGATCGACGCAGACGCTGTGGGCCGAGTGATGATTGACCTGCGGCCCGGCGTGTGGCTCTCGCCTGCGCCGTCCTTGGCTCCATCTTCGCTTTCAAGGGTTCTTTCCGTTCGTTTCGTGTCACGGCCCGCTATGGAGGACGTGCAAGCGAGCAAGATGCGACCACGAAGAGAAGGCCGTGGCCTGAGCGGACAATAGATCTGCAGATTGCATCAGGATTGCATGGCTCACTTCCTGTGCAGGATCCAGTGATAGCTCTGGGAGTGAGGAAGCGCGGCGATGCGCCCAGTCTTTCCACACGGCAGCATAGTCTCGGCATGTTACCGCTGCAGGCACGAGAAAGCCTCTGAGGAACATGGCCCGGGAGGCCCAGGCGGTGTGGCCCAGAGACTATCCGAGTCCGTGACTCCGCCAGGCGAGGTGCCCATCCCAGCTCCTGTGGAGCAGCTAAAAAAGCTGCCGAATGGGAGAAGGCCGACTGCAAGCTGACCGCTCTGTGCCACAAACTAGAAGACAGGAGGGCCATCGGCGTAGCGCTCCGTCTTCGGGACTCCCCAAGACCTCCGGAGGACTGCGCAAGTCGAATGCTGCCACATGGCTGTAGCTCAAACTGCCATTCTGAAAAGGAGCCAAGGGTGGTTCGCTGCCACGAGGTTCACTAGCTGACGAATCCTGGGTTGCAAGTGTTGCTCTCTGCGCTGTCGAGCTGGAGGCCAACTACGATCAGCTCGACAAGCTAATGGGGCAGGACAAGGCTGCATGTCATGAAATCCAGCGAATGTGTCGCAGTCAAACTTCAGAACTTCGTATCAACAGACTGGGGTCTCTGGCCAGCTGTTTGCGAGGCCCGGCCTGTTGGGCGGAGTCCATCAGAGTGTGCCTCAGAGTCGGCGAGCTTGCACGCGAACATTTGTGTTTGGCCGAAGAGCATGGCAGGCTTTGCCTGTCATGTTCGGGGTCATCTCTGGCTACCATGTCTCCCTTGTGCGACCTACTTATCCTTGCCTCGGCCTGCTAGTACATTGTCGTACCGGGCCGTCCCCGAACTGCAGTGCTGTCGGCTTCCTGCTGATGCCTTGCCAGCCTTCCCAAAGAGTCGCCAAGGAGTCTGGAAGTGCTAGCAACCGTCCAGCCGTGAAGTGAAATAGACTGCTCGGTACTCGCTCGTTGGAAGCTTGTGCTCGAAGCTTGTTCGCTTGAGGGCCGGGACTCTGCCACGCTTACCAGGCTGGATCGATTTTAAAGGGTCCACATGCAGCAGACCATGTTCTCGATGCTCGTGCTCGGGACTGGGCTTCGAATACTCCTGCCGGCTCTACTTGCGAATTGAAGCTCCTGTCATCCAGAAGCCATACATAGAATAAATTGGTTCGTGGATGCTGAATAGCTGCTGGCTGGCCGACTAGGTTTGAGCGGCAAGTCACGGCACATCGGCACCGCAGCCCCTCAAGTCTGCAACATTACTCGAAGTTCTGGCCTTCCACCCAGGTTGGTGCCATCGACTGCCATCAAGCGCCCATGAGGAGCGCTGGTGTGTGATATAGGTGTGGAAGAATGAACCTTAAGCTCGTCAGGCGAGCTCCGTCTTACTCCGGCTTAGCCAGCCGACCGACGCCCCAAAACCGAAGGCACGGCATCCCACGGCACAGCTAAAACAGGGCGAGCCCAGAGCTCCCTTCTCGGCTGTTTTTGTTGTGCAAGGCCGGCTTTGGCCCCACTGGAGAATCCGCCCAACAGCTAGGGTCTGAGGGGCAAAGCCGAAGCTCAAAAGAGGGACGGGTCAAGAAACGGTCAAGGGCAAGTGCAACAAGGCCGGCCGCCATCGTCTGACAGTGTGGGGACGCCCCCACTGCACCTCGGATGCATCACATGTCTGGCTTCGGTTTCAATTGCTAGTTGCATGTCTTGGCGTCTTCAGTGGCAAAAATCATTCAAGCCGAGCAGGCAAGCTGCGAAGGCCAATCTGGTGTTGAGTCCCAAGCTGCAGTTCTCGCATCGGTCTTGTAAATGCCGTAGCTGTCTGTAGATCAGACATTGCCGTGATAAGCTGTCTGACTGAGGTGTGTCAGATGAGCCGTTTGTGCCTCTGCATATGAATTAGTGCGCAGTTAACTTTGTTCTCCACTGTACAGTCATTGCACAGGGCTGACAAGCAAAAGTCTCGCAGCTCTCACACAGTTGAGCACGAGCCTTAATCGTGCAGTCGCACATTGCAAGAGAGGCGAGATGTGCCGCACGCAGCAGCGTTGGGCATTTCGCGCTGTGGGAGAAAGAGTGGCTTGGAAGGTGACCGGTTGTCTGCTCTAACTGCTTCTGGCAACTGAGACCAGCGAGTTTGGAGCATGGCTCCCATGAAATCGGAAGACATCGGTAGAGCAAAAACACCTGGATACTCCCACCGGTTCATGAAGTGACAGCAAAAGACGTGGAAGTTTCTTTCTCGGTCCTGGGCATGGCGCCTGCGATAGGAGAGGATGCCAAGTTGGCTGGGCGCCCAGATTTGGTGGCGTCGGCTGCTCACTCGGGATTTGATGATCATCGTTTTGGTCGTAAGGCCACTTCCACGCTCTACGACGAGAATGTTCACTTTGGCACGCATCTGGAGGTACTTTTCAGCAGTGTTAAGTTTCAATGCGTCTGCTGCGATTCGTGAGGTTTGGGGAAGCTGGTATGACACGGAGAAGCAGTGTTGGGGCCGGCAACCTTGTGTTAATGAGACCCTTCTGCTCGGACGGTTCGTCTTGTTTCTGGCGATCCAGGCTATGCCTGTTGCAAGGGGACGCGGCCGCGACAGAGACGCTGCCCAAAGACAGCCGGAACACTTAGAACAGTCCTTGCTTCAGGCTTGGTGTGTTAGGCTTCGTAAAAGTGTGCTGCACAGCGCACAGTGTCTTCTGACCAAGATCGCATGTCGAGTCCAGAAGCGGATTGGCGGTCTCGTCTCGCATTTGGGTTGGACTGCGTGCTCGGACTCCAAGCAAAACTAAACGAACCCCGGCGCACTGTCTAGATGTGTCTGGAAGTCTGCAGTGATGTTGTCACCGGCATGCACAGACACAGCAAGCTGCACTGGGGCAGGTGCTTCATGGCGGGAGAGTGCAGTGTAATGAGGATAATGCGCCCAAGACGCTTCCTCCCAGCACAAGAACTAGATTGCCTTCGAGAGCATCTGAGACGGCCCGCGATATGCGATCCCATCTAGCCCAAAACTGGATGACCTTCCATTCCGGCGTAGCTCTACACAGCTGTGCAAGGCGCCACTTGCGGAGGGCGAAGCCGAGGACGCTGAGCGAAGCGAGCATTCAAAGGCGTGAAGGCTCCTCGCTGAGCTCAGCTTGAGCTCATTTGTTGAGGAGGAGGAGGACTTGGAGGTCAAGGCTCCCAAGCAAGGATTCAAAGCGTCAAGGGTATGGGCCAGTCTGAGCGCTGAGGTGAGCCGCCGCGTCGCAGAGCTGCTTGAGAAGAATCCTGGCTTCTGTGGCGATGTGCCCACTCCAGACCAGGCGAGCAGCTTCGAGTTGTCGTTGCTGCGTTTTGAGGCGGCATTCATTGCTTCCGGGCAGTCACGTCTGCCCGATAGTTTTAGTTTTCGATGCTTAAGTTTTCCGCACGGAGTCGGGATTGCAATAGAAGAAGGGAAGTCCTGGGATGCGAGGGAAGGTCTAAACGGGGAGGCTTGCCTCCGAGTGTGCAAGAAGTCTGAAACTGCCTCCCATGCCGGGCTCGAGGAGCGAAACTGGTCAGATGCAGAGCTGCGGAACTACATTCACAGCAACGGCCTAATTCGGCCAGCCAGGACAGCCAGGATTCCAGAGCTGTAGGCTGAGCTGGTGCTGCTTTGATCCTTTCCAGGACAAAGGGCGAGCAAAGGCCTGCGCCCACCGCTGCCGACTGGAAGGCCGAAAGTGGTTGGTCCCGAGGGATCCGAGGGGTCCGTGAGTGTGCTGCAGGTTTTGGAGCTGGAGCCTGGTGCAGACCCTTCCCAGCTCAAGAAGGCCTTCCTCTCAAGGGTCTTCCCCCCCAGACCACATCGTCGTCTCCGTAGTAGTAGTCGTAGTCGTAGTCGTGGTAGTGGTAATAGTGGTTGTCGTGGTAGTAGTGGTGGTAGTAGTCATTTAGTCGTAGTCGCGGTAGTGGTAGTAGTGGTAGTGGTGGTAGTAGTCGTCGTCGTAGTCG